GGGAAGGAAAAAGGAATTGATATCCAAGAGACACAGAGAACTCCCTTCAGACGTAACTTGAATCGATCTTCTGCACGACATATAATGGTGAAACTGGCAAAATACGAGGATAAAGAGAAAATTCTGAAAGCAGCTAGGGATAAACATGTTCTAACATATAAAGGGAGACTGATAAGACTTGTGACGGATCTCTCTACTGAAACTTGGCAGGCCAGAAAGGAATGGCAGGAAATCTTCCATATGATGAACAGAAAAACTATGCAGCCGAGAATCCTTTATCCAGCAAATCTGTCATTTAGAATAGAAGGAGAGATAAAGGTCTTCCCAAACAAACAAAAACTGAAGGAATTCATCACCACTAAACCAGCTCTACAAGAGATCCTAAGGGGGATCCTGTGAAACAAAGTACCAGAGACATCACTACAAGCATGAAACCTACAGATATCACAATGACTCTAAACTCATATCTTTCTATAATAACACTGAACATAAATGGACTAAATGCACCAACCAAAAGACATAGGGTATCAGAATGGATAAAAAAACAAGACCCATCTATTTGTCATCTACCAGAGACTCATTTTAGACCTGAGGACACCTTCAGATTGAAAGTGAGGGGATGGAGAATTATTTATCATGCTACTGGAGGTCAAAAAAGAGCTGGAGTAGCCATACTTAGACAAACTAGACTTTAAATTAAAGACTGTAACAAGAGATGAAGAAGGGCATTATATAATAATTACAGGGTCTATCAATCAGGAAGAGCTAACAATTATAAATGTCTATGCACCGAATACGGGAGCCCCCAAATATATAAAACAATGAATCACAAACATAACCAACCTTATTGATAAGAATGTGGTAATTGCAGGGGACTTTAACACCCCACTTACAGAAATGGATAGATCATCTAGACACACGGTCAATAAAGAAACAAGGGCCCTGAATGATACATTGGATCAGATGGACTTGACAGATATATTTAAAACTCTGCATCCCAAAGCAACAGAATATACTTTCTTCTCGAGTGCACATGGAACCTTCTCCAAGATAGATCACATTCTGGGTCACAAAACAGCCCTTCATAAGTATACAAGAACTGAGATCATACCATGCATACTTTCAGACCACAATGCTATGAAGCTGGAAATCAACCACAGGAAAAAGCATGGAGGTTAAAGAACACCCTACTAAAGAATGAATGGGTCAACCAGGCAATTAGAGAAGAAATTAAAAAATATATGGAAACAAACGAAAATGAAAATACAACAATCCAAATGCTTTGGGATGCAGCAAAGGCAGTCTTGAGAGGAAAATACATTGCAATCCAGGCCTATCTCAAGAAACAAGAAAAATCCCAAATACAAAATCTAACAGCACACCTAAAGGAAATAGAAGCAGAACAGCAAAGGCAGCCTAAACCCAGCAGAAGAAGAGAAATAATAAAGATCAGAGCAGAAATAAACAATATAGAATCTAAAAAAACTGTAGAGCAGATCAACGAAACCAAGAGTTGGTTTTTTGAAAAAATAAACAAAATGGATAAACCTCTAGCCAGCCTTCTCAAAAAGAAAAGGGAGGTGACCCAAATAGATAAAATCATGAATGAAAATGGAATTATTACAATCCCTCAGAAATACAAGCAAATATCAGGGAATACTATGAAAAACTATATGCCAACAAACTGGACAACCTGGAAGAAATGGACAAATTCCTAAACACCCACACACTTACAAAACTCAATCAGGAGGAAATAGAAAGCTTGAACAGACCCACAACCAGCAAAGAAATTGAATCAGTTATCAAAAATCTCCCAACAAATAAGAATCCAGGACCAGATGGCTTCCCAGGGGAGTTCTACTAGATGTTTAAAGCAGAGATAATACCTATCCTTCTCAAGCTATTCCAAGAAATAGAAAGGGAAGGAAAACTTCCAGACTCATTCTATGAAGCCAGTATTACTTTGATTCCTAAACCAGACAGAGACCCAGTAAAAAAAAGAGAACTACAGGCCAATATCCCTGATGAATATGGATGCAAAAATTCTCAATAAGATACCAGCAAATCGAATTCAACAGCATATAAAAAGAATTATTCACCATGATCAAGCGGGATTCATTCCTGGGATGCAGGGCTGGTTCAAAATTCTTAAATCAATCAATGTGATACATCACATTAATAATAGAACCATATGATCCTGTCAATGCAGAAAAATCATTTGACAAAATTCAGCATCCTTTCTTAATAAAAACCCTTGAGAAAATCGGGATAGAAGGAACATACTTAAAGATCATAAAAGCCATTTATGAAAAGCCCACAGCTAACATCATCCTCAACGGGGAAAAACTGAGAGCTTTCTCCCTGAGATCAGGAACACAACAGGGATGTCCACTCTCACTAATGTTCGTTTAACATAGTGTTGTAAGTTCTAGCATCAGCAATCAGACAACAAAAGGAAATCAAAGGCATCAAAATTGGCAAAGATGAAATTAAGCTTTCACTTTTTGCAGATGACATGATATTATACATGGAAAATCCGATAGACTCCACCAAAAGTCTGCTAGAACTGATACATGAATTCAGCAAAGTTGCAGGATACAAAATCAATGTACAGAAATCAGTTGCATTCTTATACACTAACAATGAAGCAACAGAAAGACAAATAAAGAAACTGATCCCATTCACAATATAACCAAGAAGCATAAAATACTTAGGAATAAACCTGACCAAAGATGTAAAAGATCTGTATGCTGAAAACTGTAGAAAGCTTATGAAGGTAATTGAAGAAGATATAAAGAAATGGAAAGACATTCCCTGCTCATGGATTGGAAGAATAAATATTGTCAAAATGTCATTACTACCCAAAGCTATCTACACATTCAATGCAATCCCAATCAAAATTGCACCAGCATTCTTCTCGAAGCTAGAACAGGCAATCCTAAAATTCATATGGAACCACAAAAGGCCCCGAATAGCCAAAGTAATTTTGAAGAAGAAGACCAAAGCAGGAGGCATCAAATTCCCAGACTTTAGCCTCTACTACAAAGCTGTCATCATCAAGACAGCATGGTATTGGCACAAAAACAGACACATAGACCAATGGAATAGAATAGAAACCCCAGAACTAGACCTACAAACGTATGGCCAACTCATCTTTGACAAAGCAGGAAAGAACATCCAATGGAAAAAAGACAGTCTCTTTAACAAATGGTGCTGGGAGAACTGGACAGCAACATGCAGAAGGTTGAAACTAGACCACTTTCTCACACCATTCACAAAAATAAACTCAAAATGGATAAAGGACCTGAATGTGAGACAGGAAACCATCAAAACTCTAGAGGAGAAAGCAGGAAAAGACCTCTCTGACCTCAGCCGTGGCAATTTCTTACTTGACACATCCCCAAAGGCAAGGGAATTAAAAGCAAAAATGAGCTATTGGGACCTCATGAAAATAAAAAGTTTCTGCACAGCAAAGGAACCAATCAACAAAACTAAAAGGCAACCAATGGAATGGGAAAAGATATTTGCAAATGACATATCGGACAAAGAGCTAGTATCCAAAATCTATAAAGAGCTCACCAAACTCCACACCTGAAAAACAAATAACCCAGTGAAGAAATGGGCAGAAAACATGAATAGACACTTCTCTAAAGAAGACATCCAGATGGCCATCAGGCACATGAAAAGATGCTCAACGTCACTCCTCATCAGGGAAATACAAGTCAAAACCATACTCAGTTATCACCTCACACCAGTCCGAGGGGCCAAAATGAACAAATCAGGAGACTATAGATGCTGGAAAGGATGTGGAGAAACAGGAACCCTCTTGCACTGTTGATGGGAATGCAAACTGGTGCAGCCGCTGTGGAAAACAGTGTGGAAGTTCCTCAAAAAATTAAAAATAGACCTACCCTATCACCCAGTAGTAGCACTGCTAGGAATTTACCCAAGGGATACAGGAGTACTGATGCATAGGGTCACTTGTACCCCAATGTTTATAGCAGCACTCTCAACAATAGCCAAATTATGGAAAGAGCCTAAATGGCCATCAACTGATGGATAAAGAAATTGTGGTTTATATACACAATGGAGTACTACGTGGCAATGAGAAAGAATGAAATATGGCCCTTTGTAGCAACGTGGATGCAACTGGAGAGTGTCATGTTAAGTGAAATAAGCCATACAGAGAAAGACAGATACCATATGTGTTCACTTTTATGTGGATCCTGAGAAACTTAACAGGAACCCATGGGGGAGGGAAAGGAAAAAAAAAAGAGGTTAGAGTGAGAGAGAGACAAAGCATAAGAGACTCTTAAAAACTGAGAACAAACTGAGGGGTGATGGGGGGTGGGAGGGAGGGGAAGGGTGGGTGATGGGTATTGAGGAGGGCACCTGTTGGGATGAGCACCTATTTTATATATATATTATATATACATATATATTATATACATTATATATTATTTATATATTTATATATAAAAATATATTTATATATTATATTATATATATATTACTCAAATCATTTGTGTCTGAGCACCTAAATGCCTTAAAACTATTGGGATATGAAATTATGCAAAATTTATCTAGTATACCCATGATGTTTTTATACCAGGTAACATTATTAGTATTTTTAGTACATCTTTTTATCTTATTTTTTAACACCTTCAGTGTTTTTTCATTTGTTTGCTTATTTCCATATGCTTTTTCACTTATCACCTTCTGGTAGGAATTTGGGACAGCTAGATTATAGGGAAAACCTAAGCATTTGTGATCTTATCATAAATGATTTATATGAACATGTTGTAGAGAGTCACGTGCTCTCACACACAAAATTCTTGATCAAATGTTTTTTTTTCTTTATATAACTTAATAACAGAGAATTTTTTTTAAAGGAACCATTTGATTTTCAAGTCTACATAATCTGGCCTTTCCCAAAAGGGTAAATGAGAAACAGTGCCATTCTCAATGAAATAATATGTACTTTTTTATTTACTTCGCAGGTGTATCCACCCTATCACCAAGCCTTCTAGGCTTACTGCTGCCTGCCCTTGGCATCCTTGTCTACCTGGATTTCTGAGTGTGATGTGACAGCTGCTGCTCCCAGCCCAGCTTAGAGCACACAGAGGACACCTTCATCCCTATGATGAATATAATTCCTTCCATTTTCTGTGGCTCCACCCTAAGCCAAATAAATGATACTTTAACAAACTCTCCAACTGATTTACAACACACATTATGACTGAGGCATTCAGGAACCCCTTCGTCCAAAAGAATAAACTTTTAAATGGGTATAAAATGATTTTTAACTCGTTCCAATATGCCTTATAAACCACTTAACCTGATTCTGTGACAGTTGCATGATTTAATCCAATGGGACAAGTTACAGTGTTCAATTCAATACTATAGGCTGTAGAGTGAAAAGTAAAATCACCATACACAGGTGCTTTAAATTTAATAACAAGTTGTGAAATATAATAGAGGTTGAAATGTTGATTGTATGTGGTAAATGTAAGAGTAAAACAGTCTCTTGTACTATTCTCTGTTTCGGGTCCTGCATATTTTCGAATGGCCCCTATCATTCATGACATTTTGAGTTTTCTTGAAAAAAAAAATAGAGTATAACTGAACCATTTTGACATAAATTCCATGAGCAACTCATTTTACTGAATGAGTTGAAAGATTCTGAATATTGAAAACCAAATTCTAGAAATTGTTATCAGTATTCTTATTTTGGAAGTAAGTAATTTTCTAAATGCTTGATTTTCAGAATCAGTAATAATTTTACGTTAGATTTTTAGTGGTAAAGTTAACATACCATAGGAAGGTTTTTCTTTACTTTTATATGATATTCTGAAGATATTTTATGCTTTTCTCATCATCAGTTTCAAACCTCAAAAATCACAGCTCTTCTCTAGAGTATCATCATATTGCTGTATTTATACATACATAGAATAATGAATTTTGAAAAGTAGAATGCTTTCATTTTTTAGTTGAGAGGTGACAGTCGTTACACAGCTAGAAATAAACAACGTTAAGTGAGTATAAGTGTGATCTAATACTATTCTAAGGATCTTTGGTTTTGTGCTCCATTTCTAAGTAAAAGCTTTCTTTATTGAAGGTATCAAGAAATCACCTATAGGTTGGAAAATCTACAATATACCTTATTTTTTTTAATTTGCTAGTAAACTCATTTCCCACTTCAATGCAATACTGAAAACTGGCTAAAAATACCAAATCAGTATGTTGCTAATGGTACTTTGAAAGTATGCAAACTGGAAGGCCAGGAGGAGACAAATAATGTGTCCAATGGTGTCTCCCAAGTGTTGGTGCTTTAGGTTTTCATAAGTTGTAAAAAGGAAGATGCACATTTCTTCATTCTCCATGGTATGCAAGGAAATGTGTTTGAGTGTGGATGTGAGAGAAATGGAATAATAAAGGATTAGCTGGCTCATGAAATAGTGCAATGTCTGATGATTCAGGAGGTATAATCCTATTTTATTAGCACAACCTTGCTAGCTAATTAGAGATAGAGTTTATCTTTTTAGAAAGGATACCTTATAGGTTCATAAAAAAATATTTACAGGCAGCAAAATAGAACTATTACTACTTTACCCCCTTTTCTTTAATTTGTATAATTTTTGTACTATATATCTATGTGTAAATGTTTAGAGCTTTCATTATGAAAATATCAATAAATATGTCATTAGTTTACATTCAACTCTTTGTTATAAAATTAAACTTTTTAATAATAAGTGAAATGGATGATTTCCCAGTGGAAGTATGTCAACAGTCTTAAAAGCATTACCAGATTTCATAAAATACATAATTATTTGAAAAAGAAACAAAATCTCTTCATACTTTAGGGAAACGAATACTGTGTAAGCCTTCTGTACAAATGTTTGTGTTTTCATTGTTACACTTTGGGGTTTTCCTTTTGCAATGTGACCCATGTTGGGCATTTTTATATAATCGACAACAACTAAATCTTTTGCCAAATGCATGCTCGCCTTTTATTTCTAATGTATTGCAATAAAGAGCAAAACTGGTTAGATTTTGCATGAAATGGTTCTGAAAGGTAAGAAGAAAACAGACTTTGGAGGTTGTTTCATTTTAAATTTGTGACAGAGATAAGGTAGATTAAAATCTCTCATACACTGATAACTCAAGCTTTTCATTTCCTCATACAGTTGTACAAATTTGACTGGGACCATCAGTTTTAAACTGTTGTCAAACTAACTAATGTATCATCTGCTTAAGACGCAAGATTCTTAATTAAACTTTATATAGATATAGACATATCTGTTGTTTCTTTGTATTTCAGGAAAGGTGATAGTAGTTTTATTTGATACTGATAAATATTGAATTGATTTTTTTAGTTATTTTTTATCATTTTTTCAATGGAGTAGTATAGGACTGTGCTTTGTCCTTTTTATGAATGAAAACAAATTATAAAGAAATAAATGTCTTACTGTTACCCAAAAAATAGCAACTGTCCTTTCAATTTACCTGAAGTTTAAAACTCATTTTTAGAAGGTTTTCTTTCCTCTTTTTTTAAGATTATTTTTTTATTTTGAGAGAAAGTGTGCGGGGGAGGGGCAGAGAGAGAGAGAGAGAATGTCAAGCAGGCCTGTGCTATTAGCACAGAGCCTGATGCGGGGCTCAAACCCATAAACCATGAGATCATGACCTGAGCCGAAATCAAGAGTTGGATATTTAACCGACTGAGCCACCCAGGTACCCCTAGAAGGTTTCGTTGTAAATTCAACTGCATGGAATAAATATTGTTAAGTAACAGTTAAATGTTTGAAAGGTTCTACAAAAAATATACACACAAATGTAAAGACACACACAAACACATACACACACACGAGCTTGCACGTACACACACAGGCATTATTACATTGAAATAAGATCTAGTAAAAACTTCAATTTTGTGGATTGCCATGAATCTAATGCTAGACACTAAAGCAAACTGCTAAAAGCTAAAAAAAGAAAAAAAAAGGCTATTCAACCCTGAATGAACTGAAATTCTAATAGAGGAATTTGCATAAAAGCATGTCTCTAAAGACAGGAGTCTGGTACAGGTAAAGTTTCTCTGAATCCTGATTTAGACTAAGCCCAAAGTTCTGAATCCCAGGGCTCCCTGTGTTCTGCCTGACAATCTTCTGTGTTCGGATTGTGATTTCTCATTGGCATTCCGACCTCCCTTCCTGTTTCATGAAACTTGCTTCCACACTGGGTCCTGGTTTCCCTTTCGGACCCCTGCCTCTGTTTCTTGACCCTAAGTATTAGATTACTTCCCTTCTAATATTTTGCTTTTGGTATTTGACCTTGGATTGACCCTAGCTCTAATTCCCCAGACTTTGGGAGATGAAAGCTTTTTTCCATGAGAATGTTTCCCATGTTAGTGGTTCTCAAACCTGGTTGCCCCTTAGGATCAGCTGGAGAATTTGAAAAAAATAAAATAGTCTCTGGGCCCCAGTCCAGACTTACCAAATCAGAATTTGGAAAGTGAGGGATACAAAGCTGTATCTTTTTAGGTTGTTCAAGAGTGTCTTCATAGGGAGCCAGATTTGAGAATCAAAGATTTTTATGATTACTACAAACTAGATTAACTGATATTTTTGACTGTATATGTAATTTAAGTATCTCTTAAGGAAAAAATCCATTTTCTTGGCTTGTCTAAAATGCTAAAATACTGATGACCTTTCTTACATTTTAGTTACATATCTTGTGTCAAAATGCTTGTCTAATCAAAATATCCCAACTTGTTTGTTTCTAAAATCCAAGCAGCAGACACAAATGTACTTCAGAAGATTTTTTCTCTAAAGGAATGTGGATTTCTTTTACCCTTTTCTTACTTTCTTTTTTTTATGTGACTTAGTAACTTAATTAAACTTTAATACTTAATTTCCTGAGTCTATAATCTTCTGAAGGTTGTTAATAAAAAGATTGATGAAAGGTGTCCGCTCCTTAACTTGAACTTTTTTTTTCCAGAATAGAAACACAGTGGTTTTGGATGAGTTGACTTTAAAATTAGTTGATGGGAGGCCAGGATTAGGTTTCTAACATTTCTATAATAACTTAAAAACAGGTTTCACTTTTTAGTTTCTAGTAATAAATTTGATAGTTGGGGTAATATATAACAGTGCATATGATGCTATTACTAATTTGGCTGTAAAATTCAATCAAGCTCAGCCTAAGGAAAATTGTGAGGTGAAGGAACTTGGTCTTCGCCTATCATATGTCCTCAGGCCACTTTGCTTTGGTTGAAAATAGTGCTGAGTACCTCATTAGTTCGGTTATATTAGTTTCCTAGGGCTATCATAACAGATGACCGCGAACTGAATGGCATCAAACAATAGAAATCTATTTTCTCACAGTTCTGGAAGCTATAACTCTGAAATCAAGGTGCCAGCAAGGTTAGTTCTGAGGGAGAATCTGTTCCGTGACTCTCTCCTAGTTTGTTGTGGTTGTGGGCAATCCTTGGCATTCTGTGGCTTCCAGCTGTATCCCTCCATCTCTGCTTCCATTTTCAACTGACATTCTCCTTGTGGGTCTTTGCATCCAGATTTCTCTCTTCTTATAAAGATGCCAACCATTGGATTAGGGCCCATCCTAATCCAGTATGGCCTTGATGACCTCTTCAAAGTCCCTATTTCCAAATAAGATCAGAGTCACAGATTCCAGGTGGATAGAAATCTTAGGAGAACATTCAACCCCGTGTTCTTCCCCTTTCCTCATTTTAAAACGTGCATATGCTCCACTCACACTAATGAAGATGTGATTGAAACACTGCTGTAAGCATGCTTTCAGAAAACATTTATGTGGATAACATACAACAATGTAGATGAATATCAAATGCATTGTGTTCAGTGAAAAGAAGCCAGATTCAAAAGGCTGCGTGATTCCATTTATATGACATTCTGGAAAAAGTGAAACTCTGGAGGCAGGGAACAGGTCAATAGTGACCAGGCATTAAGGATAGAGAGTCTGACTAGGAACAGCATGAGTAACCCTTAAAGATGATGGAACTAATAGCAGTGACCCAAATCTAGCCATTTGTCAAAACTCAGAGAACGGTACAGCAAATGAGTAGGTTTTACTGTGTGGACATTTTTTAAACTGGGCATTGGATCATGGGTGTTGGATAGACCTGCAATCATATTCTAACTCGATCTGTTATTACTTGTGAGGCCTTGGACAAGCAATGCAGCATTTTGAGGACAAATTTCCTCCTCCATAAAATGAGGACAACACTCCTCAGGATTCTTTCAAGTGTAAGTGATAGACACTCAACTCAAACTGAAGGGGGAGAAAAGGAATTTATTGGCTCAGATAATGGGATCTACAAGATGGACTTGATATAAGGCCATAAATGTTCCCAGGGAACACTCTCTCTCCATTGTTGATTCTGCTTCTGTCTGTGCATAGGCTTCATTCTCAGGCAGTCTAATCTCCTTGTGGCAGGAATCATAGGTGCTGACAGTTTACGTCCTCCAGGTCAGTGGTCCAAAAGGCATAGAGACTCTTTCTGACGCATACCAAATCTCATTAACGACTCAGATTATCCCCAGGAGTTTGGTGTATTTTATTCAGCCATCTTGGGTCTCCTGTCTCTCCTCTGGATAACTAGAAGGTGGCAAATACACTCTGATAAAAATGGGGGACCAGGACCACATGCAGTCACAAAGGACTATCAAATGCTACTAGCAGGAGAGCGTTGGACTGGCAAAAAGCATTCTCCACTCCACTTTTTCCTGGAGTTCTATACAATTTATACAAATTTAAGAAGATGATAGAGTTATAAATCCCAAACCAATCTTAAGTCTCCCTTCCTACCATTACTTTTCAATAGATAAGTGCAGTTTTGCATTTAGGGCTCCTAAAACTCCTACTTCAGGGGATGGCACAGCTCTCTGTTGATACTTAGTGCAGAGCTTAGCATCCACAGTCAACCCAAAGTTGGTTCCTCCTTGATCAGGTAGAGCTGACTTAGCTAACTGAAAGCATATCAGAACGTAAAAGAGGAGAAAAAGCCTGTCATCACTGAAATCTTCCTTTTACTACACTTTAAACGTACACCCTTCCCAGTGATGAGTGAAGGGACACCATTGTCAAGCAGTCTCACCTGCACTTTTTTTCATTATTTCTAAGAAAGAGCGATGTGTGTATCTAGGGGTGGTACAAATTTCCAAGGGATTTCAGAACTTAATTGGACAAGTTTATCTACTAGGCAATTAATTCCAATTAATCAATGGGAAGGGGCATGCCATAATAAAGTATTAAAGACTCACACAGCCTTTTAAGTGAACCATATTAGTGATTTATTGCCATAATAGTGTTGCAGAAATACAACCACAACACTTCAGTGGCAGATGGCAATAAATATTAATTGCTCACACATCTGGGTCAGCAGTGGGTCAGGTATGGGGCTTTGCTAATATGAACTGGACTTTCTCATGTGCCTGAGAGCCAGCTATCAGCTGTTACACACTGTCAGTGGGCCCTTTAGGACAACTCGGCTCTGCCCTACTTTTCCCTCATCCTTCAGTAGTCTGGCATGAGGGTGACTAGTCAGCAAGAGGACAGTAGGAAAAATCCAGGGGAGGAAGGGTGGTGGCCTGAAATCCTCTTGTGGTGGAGAAAAATGAAGAAAGTGAACAGACTTTAAGGGTATTTAATAGACCAAATTAAGAGAACTCATGATTTGACTGGGTATGGTGAATAGACGAAATGAAAACAAGCATCATTTGCTGGTTTTAAGTCTAGCTATTTTTCTTAGAAATTAACCAAAGCTTTCAGATGGCTTCACAAATGGTTTTGAGTGATTTTAGGTATTTGTACTGTTTTTCATAACAACAGCATTTATACAGTGCTTAAATTGTTCATACCTGTGACTAGAAAGAGTAATAAAATATCTCGAGGAGGGCAGCCAAATGCATGACAGTCTGTTGAAGGTAAAAGTCTGAGATATCTTCATAAGACTACAATGATTTGCTAAAGGAAACGGAAATACATCAGATTGTTCAAAAGTTTCTCTAGTTTTTTGTGGTTTATAAATGAGGAGACTTCAGACCCCTTTTGAGAACATGGTAATATAGATTTTTTTTGATAAGATAAATTAACATTCCCCTCCTCACTTAATCCGCTGTGCTCAAAAATACTGACCAACTTAACTGCTTACAAGTTTGCCATTTCCAGAGTCAAATACGGGGAAGACAACTGCTCGTAGCAAGTGAGCTGAGAGTTGCCAGAAGGACCATCTGTCAGACAGAGTTTAGATTTTTATATTA